CAGGTTTAAAACCACACACACACACACACACAAAATAACCTCTTCACCTCCTACTACTTCCTTTGAGGTCCTCATTTCCCAGCACCAGCTCGATGCTGTGAAGATGGCAGAGATCCAGAAGTAGGAGCAGGAGGAGTCTTTATGGTATTGGTATTTAAGACACAGCTTAATGGCAGCCACTTTATGTGCATGCAAGAGCAAATCTCACTTCTCTCTCTTTCCTGTAGACAGCTAATCCGAAAGCTTCTAAGCACCATTCAGTTCCTGTAATGAGTGAAGAAAAACCTGGTGGCTGACTATAGAAGAGAAAGCCAGAGAAGTCTTGCGGGCCTGCAGATCAAAATGCGTTCAAAGCGTATCGAGGAACCTGTTATGTGAGTCACATTAGCTTACTGGCGAACGAGCACTTGAAGATGAATCCTTACAGCCCACCCAACAGTGGAAGGATAAAAAAAAAAGCTTGAAATTAGGAGGGGAGATTATTGTCAGGACCGAGGCATAAATCAAACAAGGGTCTTCCCAATGCATGTGGGCAGGCTTGCTTATATGATTTTTTTTTTTTTATTGCATTTTCCCCCTGGGTGCATCTTTAGAGTACAGCCATATACATTCTCATTTATAGGCTGGAGCCAAAGCAAATTTGCCGTTGGAGGTTTTATCACAGTGTTTACTCTTCTAAACTTGATCCCTATTGCCTTTCTTATTCTCTCCATTTTTCTTTGTGCCAAATACATTTCAACATGCTGTTATTATCAGTATCAAACAAACTCCGAGGCTCCCTGGCTGCTGCCCTACAGCTGTGAGACATTACAGAAAAACTGAGAAGTTTAATTCTTTGCTGCTCCTTATTAGACCTGTCGTCGCTCCGCTGAGGTGAAGCCACCAAGAATGCTTCTCCTTTTGTGTCAGGTTAAACGCCCAAGGCTCTTTTAATTTACAATATTTCTCCCCTAGACTCAGTTTCGTTACTCTGAATGCTACCATAAACTCTCCTAACAAGACAGATATAGTGCGCTACAACAGTGAATTCCTCTGGCTTGGCTGTAAGGAGAATGAACACCAAATTGAGAAATAGATTTGGGATAAAACAGTCATTCACCTCGGAAGCAGATTCTCTTCGGCAACCTGACAGGTCAAGACGGGCGGGAGGGCTACAGGGTCTGCTCAATTTTTCCTTCTTGCATAAGTGTTAGGATTTAGGTTCATTGTTTCATTTAATAGGAAAATTCTCGGTATCCCTCTTTGACAGCCAATCAGTGGCCTCACTAGGAAATGGTCACTAACAGAATTATTAAAGAAGAAAGCTCTAGAAGCTGAGTTCTCACTGAGATTTAAAACCTATATGATTTTACCTGACTGTGACTTGGTCACTGCTGCTAAAAGTTTGCAATTTTCCATTTGTGCAAAAGCATCTCCAAAGCAAGCAGACTACTTTGCCTTTGTGGAAATTATAAAAGTATACCCACTGTCTTTAGATATGTTCAAGATCTGCATAGGCCTAAAGTAAGTCCAGACCACAGTTGTGCCTTTCAAACCCAACATAAACCATACATAAACATACATAAAACATAAGTGCTACCATATTTGGCACTATTCCAAAAACCCCCAGCTCTACAGCAGCCCTGACATTTACCTGAGCGAGAGTAGCTCTCATGGCATGTATGTGTGATCTCTGCGGCAAGGTCCAGGTAGTGCTGCCTCTTCTCCGGTGCGCCATCATCTGCCCCAATTCCGATCATGCCCCCGGAGAAGCAGGCCAGGTGACCCATCTTGTGGTCCAGGATTCCTCCTCTCCACTCAGCCATGTAGGTGAGACCACCAGGCGACTTCTGTACCAGGTTGGCTTCGATTGCCTGCAATGACATACGCAGTCGGGAATAATTAAACCTGATGTGCCCACTGCCATCATTCACATACTGTTTGTATAAAGCAGTTACCCCTTTTCAAATATGATTCATGCATAGCCGTGATCAACATCGGGAAATGGGTTTCTTTCACCAGAGATTTTACTTCTTTGTATAAGAGTTCACAATTAATAGTGATAAGATATGGAAAAAAGTACCAGGCTACATACATATTACACACACAGGTGCTGCTCAGCTTTACAAACATATGCCGTAAAGCTTCCTGCACACAGTTTTTGTGCTGAGTCAACAGAGCATTGGCGACATTTAAGCACTTGTGCTCCTCTCTCTGCACCAAGGCTTAAAATTGATTGAATTCAAGCATTGGTGCTATGATAGGAAGACACCTCTGCAACAAGTGAGCTCTTTAGAACGACTCATTCTTTTACAAGTGTTGTAAAGGCAAGCTGCATGGCCAAGTGCTTGATTTTATACACCTCTGGCAAAAGATTAAAAGGTGTGACCCAATACTTTGTCCATATAGTGTACTTAAAAACCCAATTACTTTTAGTCTGATTTAAACTGTACAAGCAGACCGCTCACAGTTCCAGAGAGGTATTGAGGAGAAAGGTCTTCTCTCACATCTCTAGTTTTATTTCTCCATGACCCAGAAATATTCTTTGCTTTTTTTGAGGATTTTCATAAATGAATCTCTAGGAGAGACGAGCCTTACTGGAGGAGCTCTGGACACAAAGACACTTCGATTCCTTTACCACACTTAAACTTCTCTTGGGTAAGTATATTTGGTGACTATTTTAATCGTTTATTTTAGTTTTCTATGACTGATACAGCAGCAGCGTTTCCCTCAAAATCGAAATTTTTGTGACACAAGTTTGACAGACACAGACAGGAATACAGAAATCAAGCTGAAGCAGGACAAATGATAAGTGTTCATTTGTATTCATGAGTTGTATTAGATATTTAAACGATGGTCAGCTGTGCAACCAACTTTTCTACCCCTAACTGTTTGTGTGCGTTAAATAAATAAAAGCTGCTGACATACCTTCATTCTTGTCACTGTGTGTGTCACATTATGAATTCGACTGAGAGTAAATGCCTAATTTTTCATAAACTTTATGCTCCTCTGACAGAGGTCATAAAAAGCAGCAGTAAGCAGCTGTGCCACCTGTCATCTTTAATAGACATCGTTTTAAAATTACTGCTCCGAAGCAAGGGCATCTCTTTTTGACTCCTATCTCCTTGTGTCTTCTCCTTGCCTCCTCTGCTCAGGCCTCAGGTCGGAAGGACTGAGACATGAAGAGACAAAGGACAGCATAGGGGACTTACAGACATCTTAGAAGAGGAGGCTGAAAAGTCTTAAAGGTCTGAGGAAGACATTTTTTATCGTCCAATATTGGCTACGAAGACAGTACAGAGACTGCTGTGCAAGAATGCAGGTGGGGACTTTCATACTACAGATGACTAACTCAGATAATTAGATGTTTATGTAGCAATGTCTATAGTGATGCTTCAGCAGTATTTAGAAATTAGAGCAATCAGACAGACTTGTGTGTTTATGTTGACTTATTATGTTATTATCACAGTGGATTGAGATCTACAAAAATGCATGTAAAGAGATTCTCTGCAAACTCTATGCACTCAGTATTATTTGAGGCATAACATTTGTTATTCACCAGTTTCTCACCGTCTGTCTCTGCGTTTGTTCCAACAAACCTAGAACTGGATGCTACGATAAAACCTGACAGATGAAACCGCACAAAGTACTATTAAAAGATTATATCTTTTACTTTGACATTAAATATGCAGCAGCAGAATTTTTTGCAAGTCCAAAGTCATGTTTACTTATCTGTAGATGATTTAATGCAGCCAAAGTTATAGAGAAGATGCAAAAGGATTGATAGCTAGCAAATACATTCAAATATGATGCTTTGCACTCCATGCATGCATATCATTCAACTGGCTGTTCACTGAAACCTGAAAAGTGTTTATACATAACACCTGGTAAGATAGCTGCTTGGTTCCCTAAAAGAGCTCTTCATGACTGTTTAAAGTAGAATTGCTCAAGATGTGGTGTGATACATGCAGTTTAGATTAAAGTGATTATTATTCACCAGTGCTGCGGTATGTGGGTGGTACTGGAATGTGGACTAAATATGCATACTTTTAATTTGGCACGACAAACGTAGTTGGTGTCCACCAGAAGTAATAACATAACAGTGCTAACAAGACAGGAGCCACGGCCGACCATGCAAATACTGTGACCTGCAAAGACCCACTCTGCTGCCGTCTCGTTAACATGGTCCACAGTAAGAGATAAAACAACTGATTATTTTTTATCAGATAATTGCATTACAATAGAATATATAGACAATCTTTTCTCCTATAAGGGATTAGTCCAGTGTGGCTACTGCAGTGCTGCACAGTAAATGTATTGCTTTTGTTGCAAATTAAATAACGGAAGGAATCAAGAATCTTTTTTGTACATTTCTGCTTCTTTGCAGGTGTTTCTTGTCAGTACTTTGTTTCATAAAACAGCTGTTTCCACTTGCAATTCTTGTTTACAGCAAGGGAATCACTTCATGCTAAATAGGGGGTGTTATAAATAGTTTATAAATACCATGTTCTCTGGAAAAAAAAACATTTTTCTTGAGGGTTGCGGCTGATGATTTTCCTACTAATTAGCTGTTGTTAGCAGTAATCATGGCATAGCATAATTAGAAAATGTTCTCTCATTCAGCACCGTTTTAATTAGAACTCTACTTTTATTTGGATGCCAAAGATAATGAGTTGTGCCATGCCTTCACCTCAGATCTCTGTATAAACATGTAGCATATAACTTAATCTAAAAGCGCGGGGGTCCTTTGCCATTTAAATACCAAGTCACAGGGGAGAAAGAAAGTCTGTAATTAGTAATTCTGCCTCTGGCTTGACCCTCTGATGAAAACTAAGGAATTCTCAGTGGCATCTTAAAATTATTTTTCTATGATATTGTAATTGTAGCCACAGGCAGTGTGGTTTACTCTGACATTATCTCCATTAAAGAAGAAATAATAGTGATTTTATACATGATCATAGCATGCACATTCAAGCATACGGATATTTTTCTGCTGATAGTGGAAGAGCAGCTTTTACTATTGCACCACATGAAAACATGCTCCATTTGGCTGATTACAGCTGAGTCCATTCTGTGTCAGATAAAGATAATTTACAGTGTTGTATCCTTTGCTCAGCCTTCAACCAGTCCGTAAAAACAACATACTTGCTTGTCCTGCTGTTGATTGTTACGGGTGTAAAGCAGTTTGTGGGCTTTGTTTTATTAAAAGTGTATGCTAATTACTGTAATTATCATTTAATCTAACTGAGCTATGCTTCAGCAAGTTGATTCCTTTGTTTACACCGAAAAATAAAGATTTCCATACCTCCAGTGCAGTGTAATACATCTTCTTCGCATCGTCGTCCGTCTTGTCTGACATCAGATATGATTTGATCAGATACTCATAAAAGCTATCCCCAAGGCCACCAATGGAAACATGATCTATCGGAGAAAATAACAGGTAAACTGAGTTATTCAGCAAAGTCTCTCACACGCACAAACACATATGCATGGATACAGATTTTTTTATTCTCGATTTTCTGCAGGTGCTGGAAAAATTTTAAACAAATTCAGAATTTCTTGAAAAGATGGCAAAAGTATTTTATATGTTTCAGGAGAACAGTCCAATCCGCAGCGAGCGCTGTCACAACCACACTTTAAACAGGAGACAGACGCAGCCAGTGTGATATCACTTAGTGGTCAATAATTTCTAATCTTTAAGCTTTTACACCATAGTTTACAAAGTAGACACCTTATTGTTTGAGATAAGTTGGGAAATTAGTGATTGAGATCATAAAATCACCAAAAACCTTTGATCATAGATCAAGTGAGCATTAGGTCTGTTTGCACTAGAATCAATCAGCACAACTGCCCCCTAAATGAATGCAGTCACTTCTGCATTGGCTTCTATGTTCATTTTAGATATAAACACTTTGCTGCTAATCACAATAAGTACAAAGCTCATGGCGATTCCAGTACAACTAAAATGATTTGATTATGTAACCATGAAAAGTTATTCAAATGTATTTCTGCTATAAGTTTTGATGAAGACTTTACAATTACCGTGAACTAAAACGTGATAGTTGCAGTTGAGAAATCATTTGTACTCTTGTGTTTTCTGGTTATGTAACGCACTTCAAGCTTGTCAGTGGAAACTGAAACAAACGCCTGTTGATTTTCCCCTTGTCTGCTATAATTTCACATTTGAATTCAAAAGATGAATATGATCTCACATAAAAGGCAACTCTTCATTAATCCACTCATACTCATTGTATGCACATACACCTTTGCTAACTCCTCTGCAAGGTTATCACAGTGCTGCTGTGTTTGTCCTTGACACTGACAAATGAGAGAAAGCTATGAAGCCAAATGCACCCCCCCCCCCTTTTCTGTTGATATTCATACACAGTTTTCCTCACCTCGTTTACATCCTGGCCCACAACAGTTTGCTTCTGCAATGATTCAGATTGCCACCTTTTCAATTCAGGCACCGTTTGATCACCTGATTTCCCCCAAGCTTCTTTCAGGTAAATCAGAAAGATCCAATTTCCTTAAGTAATTGAATTCATTCTCATTTTAATAACCCAGAGCAAATGGAGTCATATAGCCCTCGCTACTGTAGGAGCCCGGTTTTACAAATGAAAGGAAGAGGGTGGATAGGTGGAGGACACAGGCGAGCGGCTGAAAGAGCTTTGACATGTGAGGTGATTCAAGGTCTGTCAGTAATGTGAAAGCTAAAGAAAAGAAAGAGAAATGTGAAACCACATTCAGCGACCTCACACTCCTATAGTCCTGACCCACATAAGTCCTGACCCACATGACCCACACATACACATAATTACTGTAATACAGTGAATATCAGCCAACAAAAATCACCTTCCCAAGTGGACCTGTGACCCCAATTTCAATTTAAACGTTTTTCTCTGACTTTACCCTTCATCACAAAACTTATATGTATCCTAAAATATCTGCGCTGATATTTAAGTATTATGCACAATACAGTACTTACGCTGGACCCAGTTGCCACTGACTGGACTGAGAAAGTTTGGGTACAAGCCATGAGGTTTCTCAATCTTGTTCAGAAGTTTCCTGATGTTCATCACCTGCAAATCACATGTCATTAGGCAAGGGGAATTTGTATTATGCCATCACCTCAAGGCTGAAAGGCATTTTGCACAAAAATTGTGGTAATAGGAAATCAGAACATTCTGTTCAGCGCTGTAAATTGCAAAGGAAGGGTTATTCATATACTGAACCTTCTCCGTGTATACTGGATTGCTGGACAGCTCAGTCAGATGCACAAATTCGAGGTGAAGAGTCCCAAACTCAGCCAGGATACTGCTCCCGGCTGAGGCCCAACCCCAGCTCCAACTGGTGCCACTACAACAGGGATAACATTCAAACACATCCACTAAGTATCGCGAAATAGACAGTTCAGCAAGACAGAGATTCATAGTAACTATCACTTATTTTTGCATGTAAATTATAATAAAACATAACAAAATTTGGTTTATCTGTCTGTGCCCATGTTTGTGAGTGGTTAGATATGCAATGCCCACTGGGAAGTGGTAAGGAAGACGAGAAGAAGC